ATTCTCTGCTGAGGACTAGCAGTCTGGGAGCTTGGATAAGAAAGAACACAGGCTCTACTCTCAGAGTTGCCTGAGGCTCAACTCTCTGAGTTCCTCCAAGTCCCCAAAACAATGAGCTATAGGTGTGGCCTTCATTCTTGGTCCTTTTTGATCTCCATTATCACACAACTTGTTGGGCAGTGGTGAGGAAGGGACCCTGGTTCTGTGATAAAGGCAAAACTTATACCTCTTTTTGATCCTTTCTAGGATATTAAACATGCTTAATTTATAGTTGCTTTTGGATAATTCTATGATCTCCAGTTCTTGGGGGTATTATTTCTCCTATGTATTGCTTTGGCTAACTTTCACTTATGATAGTTGGCATTCACATGGGATGTGTAATTTTTATGGTGAGCTCATCTTTAATTGTGATTATTTTTTTTTCTTTGTGGGAGTTCCTTGGGCCCTGGATTGTAAAAGGTCCTGATAAAGAAGGTTTTTTTTTTTTTTTTTTAGTTCTCGGTGGGCACAACATCTTTTGTTTGTATGTGGTGCTGAGGATCGAACCCCGGCCGCACGCATGCCAGGCGAGTGCGCTACCGCTTGAGCCACATCCCCAGCCTGATAAAGAAGGTTTGCCAGCAGCATTCCTGCTGGGATTTCCGAGTGGGTTACTATCCTGGAAAATTTTTAATATAAGTTCTTGGCTTGGGGTTCCTGCAACACACTCATTGCATAAATGTGGATTCTGATCCAGGCTCAGGCTTGGGGTCTTTATTTCTTATGGTGACATCTCCCCACAACCCCCTCCATCCCTTGCTTTCCTGGGCCATTGGTCTATACTTTCCTGGACAGAGTTGTTTATCTTCTGTCTCTGACTTTATACAGGGTAATATTCAGTTTCTAGCTTCCTGCTTCTCTTGAGCCCAAGGTCATGTTTCCCATCAAATGTGTTACAAACCCAACTTCCCCTAATTAGGGTCTCCCTCCAGCATGATACCAGCAGTCTCCCACATACTGCTCTGGCATTGACTTTTCTGGCACCAGAAAGTGAGGTTTGGCTGTGTATTAACATATTTTGTGTTATGTTTTACCCAGCCATGTTTGGCCAAGGTTAGCTTGCCTTGGTGGATGGCTTCTGGACATCTACCTCATTCTTCCATTACCTCTATGCCACTAAAATGAGGGAGGTGAAACCTACACTATACAAGGCTCTCCCAATGCTTGGCAGCAATGCCCACTAGAGGCCAGTGAAGCCCACTCTGTGCAGCAGCTCGGGACAGGTGTGTTCCTCAGCTTCAAGAATGAGCATAGAGGGCTGGGGCTGGGGCTCAGCAGTAACTCACTTTCCTGGTGTGTGTGAGGCCCTGGGTTTGATTCTCAGCACCACATATAAATAAATAAAATAAAGGTCTATCAACAACTAAAAAAAAAAACTATTAAAAAAAAAAAAGAATGTGCATGGAACTGTATAATCACTGACTTCCCTTAGCATCCTCTTGACTCATACGGGTCCAAAGTAGGAAGCCTGCTCTCTCCTCCCAGCTGTACTTCCCCAAGCCAAAGGAGTCTAAATGCTCCAAAACATCTCCAGTAACTTTGGGAATTCTAAAACTAGTTTTCATCTTTTCTCAGATCAACATTGCTGCCAGGGTTTCTCTGTAGGCTCTCCATCACTACAGCCCTGGCCAGGCCCAGGTAGGGTGAGGGTAAGGTGAGAAAGTCATGTGGAAGACAGGCTCTCATTTTTACTAGTGATGGGAGACTTTAAGATGCAGCCACAGTTCTCACTGTAGAGGCCCTGACCCAAATGGTCCTGGAACTGCTGAGGGGTTAGTGGCAGTCCCCTGCAGGGTCTCTTGCAAGAGTAGGAAGGTGGTGGAAGGCAGCAGCAGGCTGCCAACTTGAGGAAGCCTGGGCCAGAGTGCCCCCGGCCCATTCTCTCATCTAGCAGGTCTCTTCTTCCTTATCACTTAGGAGAGACTCGGCTCCGTTCCAGACCAGCAGCCTAGAGCAGTGGGCTGGAGAGAAGAGATGCCGCCGAGCTAGAGCAGCCCAGCGGCGGAAAGGAGAGTGGGTGATAAATTTAAATAACCAGCTTGACTTGGCAGCTTGCTGAGTTGTGATGCAGTGAAATTAAAATCTCCGCAGAACTTGCAAACACTACTCTGAAAAATCAGTCTCTCGCCTTGGTTCCATGATGGAAGAGCGGGTGGGGGAGGCTATCGGACTGAGCCCTAGCCTCTGGTGGCCACCCTTGCTTGCAATGTGATTAGCTCTGTCCTGGCCCACTGGGCCCACTCTCCCCTCCACACAATAGTGCAGGTTCCTCTCTCCTCTCAGTCCTGACCTTGTGGAACAGCTGCATCAAGTGGCTGGTGAAGTTTGAAATCAGCCTCCAGTGCCAGGAGGCAGCAGGAATATCAATAAGGTCTGCTTTTCAGGTTGGGCCAAGGCCTTACTGGGCCATTTCCCTCAGGACCCATCCCCAGAGGTTTGCGGCCTCTGCTGGCTGTACTGGGGGAGAAAGATGAGCTGAGAGCTGTGATGTCAGGGATAAAGAGGGCTCCTTGAACACCTTGGCACATCCAAGCCAGGCTGTGGGCACAGGATGATCTTGCTGCTTCCTTACCTCAGCACCCACCTGCCCACAATCACCTGCCTACCAGAAAGGGCCTCCCTTTCCCTTCCACCAGTGAAGTCCTTAGTATTCTCCTATGAAGTAAGTTTTTAAAGAACCTTTGAGGGGAAATTCTACAAATACACCAAGAACCTCTCCCACACCCCAGCCCTGTTTGGAGCCTATTTCTCACAGATGCCAACGACATCTTTCTAGAAGAACTCACCTAAAGTCCATCTCTCCTGGGTGTCCTTGTATTATTGCTCATTGCTCCCCACAGAGTCCTGCCCGAAAGCCACTCTGAGATGGCCTACCAAGTCCCTGGGCAATGCCCAGTTTCTCACCTTGACAGTACTTCCAGCAAATTCTATTTGTCCCCATAATAAACACATCATGAATCATTCATCTTTAATAGATTATGCAAATTAGGAGGACATAAAATCAACAAAGATCAATAGCTGCAGTCATTTAATTGCCAGCAAAAACATTTTAAGAATGAGCATAATCTGCAGCCCTTTCTCGGGTAATAGCACTATTAATCCAAACATTGGATCTTGGTGTGAAAAAAATCATTCCCTGCCCCCAACTCCACCTCCCCTCCCCCATCCTTCCACACACTTTTCTCTTTTTGGTAATTTCCAGTTTCTGAGCGAGTTTCCCCGTCATTACCACTGGTGAACAGCTCCGAATGTTAATGGTTCTGCTTTTGTTACTCCTCGCTTGATTGAAATGTCGCATACAGATTGAGATGTTAGTGCTAACTTGCCACCTGGGAATGTCAAGCTGGGTCTGAAATGAACTTTTCTCACACTTGGATCCAGATGGATCAGCCGGAGATGTTCCCAGGCTGAGCTGGGACTGTTCCAGGGCCATGGGGGGGAGGCGGGTGGGGGCTGCTCAAGGTGGAGGCACTTTTCTGTACCAGTCCCAGTGTCCCCTGCGGCAGGAGCCCTTGCCCTGAAGATCCACATCTTCACCCTTCTAGGAAGTCCCTGTCTTTTAGACTGTTGCCTTGAGCATAGGGAAGTGTGCTGGGATTAGAGAAAAGTTTCTTGCACACTCTTTCACCAATTACCTGGAGTGGGCCACCTTTGGGAAGTGACCACTGACCAAAAAGGTGGTCTGGCCTGGGTCAGAAGATTCAGTGGGTCAGAGAGCTCCCAAGTTGGGCTACAGAGGGCTCATGCTGAAGGCCAGTTAATATAGGCTATGTTCTGACTCAGCTGACACAGCTAAGGTCCTCACTCCCAAAAGTCACCTCTGCAGCACTTCCAGAACTCAGCCACTGAGCCCATAGCCAAAGACTGCAACTTCTTATAGGTTGGACGCAGGTGTACCAGGACACCCCTTCAATAAGGCCTGGGAAAGCTAATAACAGGAGGCTGGGTGGCTACTCCAAACCCATGTCAATCTGAGCCAAGCTCAGATCAGCTCTAAGTCACAACCAGGCCCTGTCCTATAGCAGGGCCACCCCTGCTCCCTGTCTTTGCTATTGGCTGTGATGCTGGCTGCCTGTATCCCTGCTGCCAGGTCCCTAGGCCTCCACTCACTTGGCAGGTAACGCCTCAGTGTCTCCCAATCCCCACTGAGACCCTTCTCAATCATTCTGTCTCCCAAGGAACAAACGGCACATTGGCTTTAGTGTCTCCAGAATAATTAGGTGAATTTTAATAACACCTCAATGTGTGTCTCTCCCACTTGGGCAGTCTCCTGGCCTGGAAACCCTTTGCAGTGCCAAGAGTCTTCTGTAGCCTACAACTCTGCAACCTGGAACTTCATATGCTGGCCCTCCCTTCATGACCACTCCAGCTGCCTCTGTGGCTCCTGATTCATGGGGGCTCCTGGTCAGAGTGCCCTTCCCCCTGCATGTGACCCTACTTGGCCTTGGTCTCAGTGACTTCTCCAGGAAGCAAGAGAAAGGTTGTGATAATTGTGCTCCTCTGTAGCTCAAGCCCAAAGCCACAGCCACCTGTTCTGCCTGGAGGGTAAGGAAAGTGGATCCCCTAGGAGCCTTGGGGACAGAGAAGTGTAGAGACTGGATACTGGGCACCCATGATATCCATTCTCAACAGCCTGGCCTATTACCCTCTGCATTTTTCTGCACAATCCTTACAAGAGGCTTGGTCTGGACACCTTGGGGGAGACAAGAGAAAAGACAGAGGGAGGACAGGAAAACAGGCAGAGAGAATGGGAAGCAAGCCCCTAGTTTCCACCTTTCCAGGCTGAAGTCCAGACCCTTTGACCACTGTGTTTTCTCCCCACATCTGCACACATCTGTTTAGGAAGCACCCTGATTTTTGAAGGCTTTCTCTCCAGATGCCATGGCAGGAGGCCCACTTATCACACTGGGCCCCAGATGGCATGGGCTGAGTAACCCCCACCCTCCCAGAAGCCCCCTTACCAGTCACCACAGGATATGTCTGTGTGCCTGACACGTTGCTGCCCAGCTCGGGGTTGGTGGATGCAGATAGACTCGACTTGACTTCATCAAGCCCAGGGGTCAGGGCTGGGAGGGAGTACTCGTTCCCCTGGGAGGAGAGAGAAAAGCGACAGCTCTCTATTGATGAGCACACACAGAGAAAGGGCTCGGTGTGCAGATGGGAAGGAGGAACGGGGAGCCCTCCCAGATGGGGTGGAAGGAGATAGCCGGGTGGGAGGGGGGGATTGGGAGGGGCAGACACTGCAGTGATGGGGAGTTCTGTGAGGGTGGGGTAGACCTGACATGGTGAGCCAGAGGTGCCACCTACCCATTGTGGGTAGTTTTCCCTGTGCCCTTTAGTCTTCTCTAGCACCTCCTGCCTAAGAAACCCCAGGGGAAGTACAGCAATGGGGAATCTCCTTGCTGAGAGGCATAGGGTGTTCAGATCCTCCTGGGGTGGGGACCCTATGGGAGGAGGGGCGAACCTTGACATGACGGCAGAGGCAGCAGTTGGGGAAGGGCCTAGTGGGACCTCCAGCCTGGCACTGGTGGGCTGGCTGATAGGGTATGGGCGCCCCTTTTTTAAAAACAAACAAAGGCAGCCCCACAGGCCCCTCGCTCTCTGCCTGTGCACTGGGGTATGAAATTGGGGAGGGGGAGAGTCCACATGGCTAACAGAAGGGTGGGAGGGGGCCAGTCATTGACTCTGAAAGGGTGTCCTGCCCGAAACACTCGGGTAATTGCCTTTTTATTGCAGCCACCGCCAAGCCAGACCCTGGAGCTGGGCAGACCAGGAGCCTGCACAAAGCAGGAAAAGTTGCTCTGATTAATATTACGTTAAATTAAAACTGATTTTCTGCTCTTTCGGGTCCGTTTTTTTCCCTTCCGCTTCCTGGCCCCCCCAGAGGACCCCCTCCCCTCCCTGGCTGGACGGGATTGCCTCGTCATTTCCAATTCCTTCTCGTATTGATCTTCCTGTAGAAATCAGTTTTGTAATTAGCTGCAAATTAGGCCTTCTACTGGGGGTGAAGCTGCCCCCTGATTTATCACCAGAGTAATTCGCTGTGATCGGAGAGAAATTAAAATGAACTCAATTAGGCTTCGGATTTGCTTTATGGGCCCTGCTCCGAGTTTCAGGGGGAAAAATGACTGTGCTGGTGTTTAATAGTCTAATGAAAGTAAATAAAGGTTATTCATTGTAATACAGCCGGGGACTCAGGGAGGGTGCACCGAGCCGCCCGCCTCGACCGGCTCCTCCTTTGTTGGTTTATGGCTCAGGGCACCTTAAAAAGACTTTTGATTTTTGTTTTATGAAGACAAACAGCTTATGGGATGAAAGGACGGGCGGGGAGAAAGGCGAGTGGCTAGGAGCTGTTGGAGTCTTAGAGTAGAACTGTGCTGTGTGGAGACTGTGAGTCTTCGTGGATGTACACTTGTGTGGGTGTACATGCACGTGTGTGTGCATGCACGTGTGCAAGCATGGCAGGCTATACTGTGTTGCAGGCGTGAATCTGGCCTAGGCCATGTATGGGAGGGATGGTTGTGTGCCTCGTGTGTGGGTGATTGCACTAGGGATTACACTGGTATGTGGGCGGAGGTGTGTGCTAAACATGGCTTCATGGGGCTGCTGGGGTTATGGATAAGGACTGTGGGCTCTGGGGGAAAGGGAGCAAGTGGACAGTGGTGGTGGGTAAGCAACTGTAAAATGTGAAGAGTTAGAAATATGTTTCGGTGTGGTGTGTTTGGCTAATGTGTTTATGTTGCATCCCATGCTGGGTTTTGGTCTGCTCTCTGTAGGAGGTGTCAGGTGTCAGGGCAGGGATCACACTGAATGGCTGGAAACAGGAGCCAGGCACAGGTGGGCTCTCTTCCTGACCCTGGGAAAGAGGAGCTCCACAGATTTGCACAGACTTTCTGTAGGACCCTTGAAGGAGACAGGCAAAGGACATGGCAAGAGGGCATTCCTGGGTGCCCGGGCCAGGGCCACAGAATGGTAGAGCTGGAAGGGACCTGATAGACCATACATTGAAGCCCTTCCCCCTACATAGATGGGGAAACTGAGGCGCAAAAAAGGGAGAAGATTTTCTGGGTAACCTTGCACCCAGAACTTATCATTTCTATTTACTGCATACCACAATGATTTTTCTTAACTATATCCCAGTGTCCTTGTGTGAGCATGTTTATGCAGCACACACACGGTGCCTCCTGTGAGCACATGCGGTGCTGGGTGTTCGGTGTGAGTTCTTGGGAGGCCCTGTTCTGCTCAGTTCCCTTCCACTTCTGCAAGTAGGAAGCTCCTTCCTCACCTGTTCTGATTTGATGTGCTCTGATGCCTGGAAGACGTCAGGGTAGGAAGGACGCTCAAAGACTCGATCCAAAGCCTCCAGCTGCTGCTGGGTGAAGGTGTCAGCTCGCAAGTGCTTCCGCAAACTGTCCACACCACTCTGGGAGTCTCCATTGGGGACCGAGCCCTCAGACACATCTGAGAAACACAGGGATACTCAGGGCATTAGCATCAGGCCAGCAGAAGCCCAGGAAGAGGGGACAAAATGGGTGGGTCCTGGCTCTGGCCCTCAGGGCTCTGCATCCCTGCCAGAACCCCTTACTTCCAGCTCATAGATTGAAAGGGGCTGCCTCAGAGGTCTGGCTAAGGAAGCCAGAACCTAAAGAAGCTGGGAAGAGAAAGGGAGGCAGGAAGGACTGGGTAGAGGTGGAGCAAGAGAGGGCTGTCTCCCAGGGTATGTTTTCCTGGGCCCCCCCTCTGTTCCCCAGCCTGGGAGAGCGTAGGGGAGGAGCTGGCTCTCAGATCCGTGTTACTGAGCCTGTGGAGAATTGAACTCGGCTCCAAGATGAATTTCAGTTCCACTGATTCCAAGGGTTGAAAATCATCAAATCTCTCAGGCCGAGTGTAACGCAGAGACTGGGTGAAGTAATTAACTGCCCCCTGAGGGAGGAGGGGCTCTGAGAGCAAAACTAAGGTATTTGGCTCAGGTTGGGTTGGGCAGGGCTGGAGACCAAGCAGGAGGAAAGAGGAGTCACGTGGGCTTCAGAGCAATCACGTGGGTAGACCACAGAGACCTGTGCTTGCTGCTGTGTCCTGGCCACTTTCCCCTAGAGAATTCTGGTTCTGGCCTCCATCAGGAGCCAGCTCCTGGGTCACCTGGTACTTGCTGTGGGTTTCCACAGGGAGCTGAGATCTGTTCCATGAAAGAAGGGCTGGTGGTGTCCCACTGGTGTCTGCTCCCTAGGGGCCACAGGTCAGTCCTGTCTCTGTGTCAAACCTGGTGTTATCACCACGCTGTTATCCCTGCCTCCTCTGTCCCTTCCTTCCAGGTCTCTTGGAGCTTTTAAAGTGTATGTGGACCAAATGCCTCTCCCGAACCCTGACCCAGAAACTCCCCAGTCACTCCTTGGCTTCCTTAGCCCAAGACAAGCTGAGAAGCCTTGAGCCTGGAGCCAGCCCATGCTGTAGTCCCCAGGGTATTCCTCTGGGACTGTTATATATATCAGTTTATAGGTGATTATATGATATGATATAATCAATATTGCATTATATACAGTAACACCGTACAGTATCATTTGGGAGACCATAGAAAATATTATATATTGATTAACCTCAACCTGCAGCCATCCTCCCTGGCTGGCCTTCCAGATGGAGCATGGGGCTCTGCTTTCCTAAAGGGATCTCCTATCTTCCCTCCATACTCTACTCTGGAGAAGATGGGAAAGCGAAGAAAGTGTGTGTGTGAGGGGCGGGGCAGGTAAGAGAGAGGGAGAGAAATATGAGAAAGCAAGACCAAGATCAAGTCGGAGGCAGGCAGAGGCAGCTTTGATAGTCTGCCTATATTCCCTGTGGACACAAAATCTGGTAGTTGTGCTTTTTCTGTGTGGAATAGTTTTCAGTCTTCGAGGGTGTAGGCATTTCTCTGTGTGAGTTGGGGTGTGCAAAATACTTATTTTTCCCTCTTGTGAGTATTCGCCGTGTGTGCACTTGTATATAATAAACATCTGGATAAATAAGGGTCTCTGTGCGTTTAAGTGACAGAATAAGAACCCTTTTGAAAGGATGTATGTGACCGCATGAGAGCGGGAGCTCATGTTGCCCATTTCTCCTGTGACTGCTTCTTCCACCAGGATGTGCATCACCCTAATTTGACTCACTGTAGCTATTTGCGTGTTCCATTGTGTCTAATTCTCTCTTCCTGGAGCCCTCCTACCTTTTGGGGAAGCCCTGCTGCCAAGGCCAAGGGAGGCTTTGAGGGTCTTTGTGTATTGGTGAGTGCAGTGTCACCAACTGCGTCCAGGGAGTAGAATGAGCATTTGTCTGTGAGCCTGTTTATGCATTATGTGTGGGGGTGTTTCTATGTACATGTGTGGCAGGATTCAATTCCTGCCTCTCTGAGGTTTGCGTACATGCCTGAGTGTAGCTTGTCTCACCCCATGCCTGTGTGTGTGTGTGTGTGTGTGTGTGTGTGTGTGTGTGTGTAAAGGGCTGAACTGAAGCTTTGTCCTCAGGTCACTGGCTGGAGGAGTCTCTTTGCCTTCATTTATTCAGGGGCCCTTCAGATCTTGACAAATCTGTCACTCTAAATTTGCGAGAGATTATGGTGCTCTCTCCCCAGCCCGCAGAGAGGTGATATATGATATCTGCTGCCCCTATTGATTGCCTGATCTGGTGGCAGAGGCCGGCGAAATGAACTTGAAATGAACATCATGCCTCAACTCATTGTGCGTATAATACACTACTTAATCCCACATTTTTCAGCCGCTATGGAATTCAATTGATCAATCATGTTCCACTGATAGTACTGTTTTAGGGGTTATTGCTGCTCCCTCCACTCACTGACCTTTTTATTTATTTATTTTTTTGTGCACTCAGGCCCTGGTGGTAAGACAGGTTACAGAGGCGGCAGTGCAGGGAAGGGGAGGGCAGGAGGGGAAGCAGAAGGAAGAGGTGGCCCTGGGAGGCGGAGGCAGGAAGAAGAGGAGAAGGAAGGTGGGGGGCGGTGGGTAGCGAGAAGGTGCTAGAGAGCACAACAACAAAGTGGCTGATGAAAGCCTGCAGAGAATCCACACAGAGGCTGGAGGAGGCCTAGAAACTCCCAAGGGGGAAAGCAGCAGTCATGATGAATGGGGAAGGAGCACAAAGAAAGTTATGGGGGGACAAGGAGGTGAGCCCCAGGGTGAGGAGAGGGCAGTGGCACTACTGGTGGGGGACAGGGACTCAGCCCCCCACTCAGCCACAGGTCCCACAGGCTGTCAGGGGCTCTCTCCAGAGGAGGGGGTGATGCCCTGCCCTCAGCTAGGGAGGGGAAGAAGGAAGTAAGGTGAGGGGAGAGGGTAGGAAGGGCAGGGGGAAGGGAGGGAGAGGCCCTGGGTCAGAGGTGCGAGGAGCTGAAGCTCTGGGAGGAGAAGGTCCAAAGCAGAGGAAGAGCAGGAGAAGGGAGAGGAGAAGAAAGAAGGCTTCCACACCAGAAGCTGAGGAGGCACTGGTTGGGTGAGGACACTTGGCGCAGGAATGACACCAGCTGGCCCTGCTTGTGCTGACGCCTGGTGTTCAGCTACAGAGGGCAGCCTGGGGCCTGGACAGGGTGGGTTGGGAGGTACAGGTTGGAGGAGGAGAAGGAGAAGACAGGAGCAGGGGAGGATAAGGAAAGAAAGAAAACAAGGACGGAAAGAAAAGAAAAGGAAAATAAAATGAAGCAGTTGACAGTGCTGACCACCTGGCAGGTCTTCCCAGGATGATGGAGAAAGAGCTCAGAGTGGCACTTTCAGAGGGACAGTAAGGGAGAGGAAGAGACAGTGCTAGCCCCAGATGTTGAAGGGCTCTCTGGCAAAGTTGGGATAAAATAAAGGCGCAGGCAGATGGAGGTCTGGATCTGGGTTTCAGAGTGGGCAGGGAGGGAATGTGTGGGAGTAGATAACATCCACTCCGAAAGATTCCCCACCTGACAGCCCCAGTGCTGAGGAGCCAGGCTGTGAGCTGCTGGCGAGCAGGGATCATCACTAATGCATTTCTATAGCTCCAGTGCCAGACATGGCACATGGTTGGTCTTCAATAAATGACTGATTGAATGAATGAGACTTTCCTGGGTGGCATTCATAACCAGACCCTGGAAGAAGGTTTCAGAACTGGCTTTCCGACTTGTGGCATCTAGGATACTCGGTCATTTGTCAGGCAAGTCCCATGCATCCCTGGCTTTCAGGGGATGCAGAAGTTCCTGCATCAGGTCCCTGGTAGACTTGTTCCTCTTTTGCACTCATCCCACTGCCTGTTAGCCTCAAACAGCGTCAACTCGGGTCCCCTGGAGGCCCTTCTCACTCTGAACAACACCATCTGGCCCACCTATGGTGCCTCAAGCCAATGGACAAAGAACATTATGCTCTCAGGAGCAGAACTTAGCCTTGGAGCATCAGAGCTGCCAACCAAAGTGGGTGGCAGAGGCTGCTTAAGGAAAGGGCCCTGAGAAGCCCTCTATATTTGTACTCCCTACACCAAGAGGGCTAGAGTAAGGTGGCCATATGTTTCTGTCTGGAACAATTCCTAATTCTGATACTGTTTCCTACTCTCAGGCCATATTTTCAAGTTGAGGTTGGAAAATGTGGCTGCTATAGGTTTAGAAAGACCCCATAGAGCTAGGAAGAGACCATGTGCTGGAATAACTGTCTCCAGCCGTGGAGGACTCTGCTCTGCTCTCCTTCTGCCCCCTGCCCATCTACACTAGCAGCACCCAAGTATCAAGAGCCTCTTACATGCCATGGCCAGATATCAGAGCTCATTTAATCCTTCTAACAACCCTATGAGATAAGTACTCTGATACCCATTTTAAAGATAAGGAAACTTAGGCACAGAGAGGTTAAGTAGCTTGTCTAAGGCCACGGAGCTAGTAAATGATAGCTAGGATTTGAATCCTGATCTGTTCGATTCCAGAGCCTGCCTTCTAAATTACTGTGCTCTGCTGCTGCTGCTGTCAAACTCAGGGCCACAGCTGAGGGCCACTGGCCTTATCTGGGCACAGCCTTCCTCATGGCATCCCCAGTTCTCTGCCTGGCCACTTCTCTATACTGAGGCTGAAACCTGTGGCATGTGTGCTGGCTGAGTACAGACTGCCCAGATGATTAGGGGACATCTGGCTCAAATTCTTCATGTTATAGTAAGGAAAACTAGGTAGGTGAATGTGAGGTGGGTGGGCTACTTATCCAAGGTCACACAACTGGGAGCAAGACTCTCGGGACTGGAGCCCAGTCTAGGTGCTGTGTCCAAACCAGTGTGAGCCCACTCAAGGAGGGTGAGCTACCACAAGTCCTTTTTGGAACACTGACAGGATATAATTACATTAAATTAATTAAATTAAACAACCTGCTGAGTTAAAGCTCACATTTTCTTCTCTGATCACTTCATATTCACTCAGTACTTAATGCAGTCTTTGTAGACCTTATCTTATTTGGTCCCAATCACTCTTCAAAGTAAGTAGGAATTAA